AAAAAAAAAAAAAAAAAAGACTGTACACGTGGTAATGATATTTTCCTCTCTCTACAATTGTTATTATCTAACTATCTACACGTATATACAAATTCTATGTACACATATAAAGGATGTACTCGACTTTTCGATCGAATTTTCAGTCGGATGAAAATTGCTTTAGTCGAATATCAGAATCGGCATCGATCAAGTCCGGTGTATTCAGCGTCGCGTTTCCTCGGATCAGGCGAAGCTCGCATCCGAGTTTACCTCATCAAAAATGTCCTCGTAAAACCGAAGACATCACAGATCTTTTAGATTTTACTTTATTACTCTTCATATCTTCGTCGTTGTCGAGTTGCATCGCACGGCAACCCGAGCGTGAAGAGTCGACAAGATTCGAGAAAGGCGAGGGGGGGGGGGGAAGGAGATCGGGGGAAGGGGAAAGAGAGACGTCGAACGAGGATTTCTCGCGCTTCTCTCCTCGGAAGAAAGAAAAGAGAGAAGAAGAAGAAGAAGAAGGATAAGAGGAAAAGGAGAGGAAAGGAAATTGCCCGACGACGCGTCTAAATAATCACTAGCCTTTCAACGGGGGATCGTACGCCCTCGTTTCACCCGGTGCTCGTCCTCGATTCGCCCTAGTAAGGTCTCCACACTGGTTTCGCGGGCGGCGGCGAGGAGATCTTGGTGGGGGAGGGGCTCCTCTTGGGCGACAGGGAACGGGAGATGAGGGCTGTCGGCGCCTTGAGCTCGTTCCTCGAACCCTCCACGACTCCCTTCTTCGTGGGCAGCCGCTCCTCCGGCGACGAGGCGGAGGAGGCGGTGACGACGGACGTGGTCGGCGGCAGGGTGTTCAATCTGATGGGCACGAAGGCGCTTCGAACCTCCTCGGCGGCCGACTCGCTCCCGGACTCGCTCGGGCTCTTGGGCGGTGTTCTGGACGGGCTGGTTGGGATCGTCGCCTGTGCGCTCGAGCTGCTGCTCGACTTCGGGGGTAGCGTGGTGGCGTACTCGGCCGGGTATTTCACGTGGTCGAACGGGTACGATGGGAGAACCGATGGCGGGAACGTCGGTGGAAACAGATCCGTGGATGGCATCGGGATGGTCCCTGTGTAAAAGAAGAAAGAAAAGAAAGAAGCGGGCTTAGATTAGAATCGTGGAGAAAACTCGCGCACGCGGAGAAAGGAAGGAAAGAGGGAAGGAGAGAGGGAAAGAAGGAAGGAAGGAAAGAAGGAAGGAAGGCCGAGTCTTATTGTTGTTAGTTGGCTGGCTGGTTGGTTGGCGGGGTGGATGCACGGGGGGGTCGAAGAAGGGGTCCGTTGTGGGAAAAGGGAGTCGAGGCTCACCCTCGGTCCAGCCACCGGGGGTATGAATCATCGGCAAGCGTCGCGGACTCTCTGGCGAAATCGATAACGCGAACTCTCTCGTCGTCGATTGTGAACGCGTGTCTCCTCTTTCGAGGCTTTTTTTTTTCTTTTTTTCTTTTTTTTTTCTCTCTCTCTCTCTCTCTCCTCTCCTCTGCTCGGAGCCGGGACGATTCTTTGGCCGCGTGCATTGTTCGGCCTTTGATTGATTGCGAGCGGGTCGAGGATGAAGGGGGCTTTGGATCATGGGACCGATTAGGTGCCGATTCTGCACCTATGTTACGTCTTTCTTTCGTCCTTTGGATATCTTATGCGATGAAATCGTCTCGTTGGATGGATAATTTCGCGACGTAGAAATATATACGTAATGGGATTATACGTGGTAGGATTATATTAGGAACGAGGAAAATTTCGTGCTAACCTTTGACGAAGGCAGGATGGGGCAAGTGCCATGCGTGTCCCAGATACGCCACGTCCACCCAAGGATTGAGCAATCCGAGTCCAGGGAATCCATGTCCGTATTGATAATCTGAAAGTAATGGAAGAGAGACGTATTCTTCAGCACGATCGAGGCGTTCGAAATAGACTCGAAATTCTCGGGACACGTGGAATGTGGATTCCTTCCGCTCTATAAATAAATAATCCGACCGACGATCAAGGTTTTCCAAAGCAGTCAGGCCAACCTTGACTGAAATTTTCTATTCCTATTCCGATTCCGAAATCGAGAATCGTATAGAAAAAAGAAAAAAGGAAAGGAAAAAGGAAAAAGATCCGTAAAAATCTATTCGAATAATTCGCGAATGGAGGAAGGGAGGGCGCGGAAGAAAAAGAGGAGAAAGAGAGGAGAAAGAGAAGAGAAAGAGAAAAAGGTGGAGGATGGCGAGAGATCTGGCGGGTGGCCGTAAAACGCGGATTAACGACGCTCTCCGGAGGCGAGTTACCGATCTCTGTTTACAGGATCGGCGCGTAACGCTGGCTCGTTACGAGCCACATGCTACCGCCATATGCGGCGCGATAAACAAACGCATAAACGCGGCTCCTTTGCAGACGACGTGCCGCGTCGCCGTTGCCGCGTTACCTCCCGCGGCTTCGTCGTCTTCTGCTCTTTTGCTCGACCGAGCGCCGCCCGTGATAAACACGCGCGCGCACACATCGACGCGCGTTAGTTGGTTAACACCGTTCTCCGACCCAATCTGGATTCAAGCCGGGGAGAACAAGGGTGGATGTTGAAAAGGGCTTGCCGACGATCGTAGCCGCGATCTTCGTCCCTTGAAACGATGCCAATACACGATCACCGCGTATGTATCTATATACACACACGTATGCGTGTGCATGATTTTCACGCGTTTACCCGCGTTTGCGTGTGCGCGCGCGCACAGCCAACCCTTATGCACGTGCACGTGCAAACGACCGGTAGAGGCTGTGCTAGTTTCTGCGACCACCGCGCGCGGCCCGCGGTTTGAGGTCCACCGGATTATTAAACGCCTACGAGGATCCGACACCCGTTTGCGGGTTCTACGTCGGCCACGCTGGGACCCGCTACCCACGCGGAATCCTCCTTTCGCCCCTACTTTTCGCCCGATTTTTTCACCCTCCTCCCTCCCGATCCTCGTGGAAAACGCGAATCTTTCTTTTCTTTTTCTCTTTCTTTTCTTTTCCTTTTCCTTTTCCTTTTCCTTTTCCTTTTTCTTTCGTCTCTTTTCGCGCCAAGGATAATTGGAGATCGAGACTACTCTAGAAGGAACGAATAATATTTACGAAAAGGAAAAGAAAAAAAGAGAGAAAGTTCGAAGGGATGTGAACTTACTCGATTTGGATCGTGGCTCTCTCGGCCCGTCCACGGTGACTTTGATCGCCTTCGTGTAGGTGGCGACTTGGAAGGGTACCGTGCTGATTTGGATGGTCAGTGAGAAGGATTTCCCTGCAATCAGGCAAAAAGTCGCGCGATTACCACGCTTGCGATGGAAAGATTTGTGAAAGATTGTCGGGGAGAGATTGTTGCGCGATACGAACGGCATAGGGGATAGATAATGAGTAGGAATGGAAAGGGATGATGATCCACTGACCTCTCCCGCTCCGCCCGACGAATCTGAGATCGTTGAACTTGGCCACTTGGTTCTTCATCACGGCTGTGCAATTCCTCAACTCCCCGCAACAATTCTCGTCGTTTCCAGCTCTAATGGTGACCAGAGTCCCGTCGCTGACGTCGTCCAGGGCAACGACCTTGAACGCTACCGGCAGCGACTTGTTCGACCTCCAATGGGATGGTAAGGCGCTGCACAGGATAGCGGGACTTCCAGTTCTAACCAAATCACCGTGACACGCCTGTAGAGTCTCGTGCATAGCATTGATGTCCATTCCAAGTGGGCCCTCCGGTAAATGCATTTTCGAACTTCACGATATTCACACTCGTCGTGGCGCAACAACCGTCCAAAAACGGGAGGGGAGGGGAGGGGAGGAATTGACGATGTTATTAATCCTCGATATCAACACCAAATATATGTGTGTGTATATATATATATGTGTGTATATGTACATATATATATATATATATACATACACTGCGTCCAATCGTTCGATTCACTATCCCCGAACTACGCACAACAAATACACCTCAATCCTCCATGAGTTTTACCCAACCACGGGGGAAACGAACAATTATTCGTCGTCTCTTCTCTTTTTATTATTGGTTCGCGTCCAATAATAAATAAAAATCTGTCTATGCGAAATGAAATCCACCTTTCCGATAAAGGAAATCGGGAAGAACGTTTCTCACTGGCCGATCGCGGGGGATGCGAAAAATCGACGACGACGACGACGACGACGACGACGACGACACTACGGGAAAAGTTTGGACGCTGAACCGACGCGCACTCGATGCCGGCTGAGCGGATTCTAGTTTTTCGCGGCCGCAGCCGCAGCTATTTAGAGGGGATTTTTCTCCCCTCCAATTTTTCCGGAGCCCCACCCAGGCCAAGCGCGTCGACCAATGAGGACGGCGGTCGTGTTGTGGCCTCCGCGGCTCGCCGCCTTCGCCCCTAACCAGGCTTAGGGGGTGCCTTGCGAAAGGGGCTGCCAGCCTGGTGCCTCTCTTGGCCAAGGGTGGCTTCTACCTCCGCGCTTCCTTACCGTTCCGCTCTATCCCCCTCTCTCTCTCTCTCTCACTCCTTTTCTCTCTCTATGTCTCTTTCTCTTTCTCTGTCTCTCTCTCTCTCTCCGGCCAGTCGCCTCGTGCTTTTCGCTCTCTACTCTCCCTTCTTCCTTCCTTGTCTCTCTCTCTCTCTCTCTCTCTCTTCCTCTAGCCACTGCGTTTCGGTTCCGTCTCATCCCATCCCCGTGCCCTTCCTTCCGCTTTCTCGCCTCGTCTCCCGAACTTCTTGCTGCCTACTACCTTGCTGGCCAGCTTCTGCCGCGCCACGCTTACGTGACGATGTAAATTTTCACGCGCACGTGTTCCAACCACCCCACCAACGCGATCCTCTCCGCGTTTCTTTCGCTCGCGAGTTCTGCCTCTTCGCGTCCGCGTTGCTCCTCGAGGAGGGAAGGGGGAGGGGGGGGAGGGGGAAAAGAAAAAGAAAAAAATGAAAAAGCGTAGTTGACGTTTCTCTGGATCCACTTGATTTTCTCTTTAAACTTAAACTTTAAACTTCGGGTGAACGAGATTCGAAAGATTTTTGAAAATGATTCCCGATAATATGATCACGGATTATGGTAATTTTTCTTCTCGTTCAACTTTCCAGCCCGGCAAATGTTAATCCGGACGATCGAGGGGACGGTCGAAGGAAAAAAGGTGTGTAATTCTTGGGATCCTCGTTAAGGACGGATAATCCTAATTAACTTTCAATAACTTTATTAACCTTTCCGGATTAACTTTATTCGGTCGCAAGAACACGATATTTGGTTAGGCATAAAAGTCAAAAACTCAATGGAAAAATCTTTTTTTTTCAACGTCTCTGAATAAATCTCTGAAAAAATATATATATATATATATAACATTTTATACGATCTCCATAAATTCGAGAAAACAGTTTGGAAATGTTTAAGAATTTTTCCATTTCCAAACAATAAAGTTTTTGCACGCAAAAAGTGTGTCGCACAACAACTAGGTAACGTAATTTATTAAGTTACGAGGACCGACAGGCCCCAATATTTGGACAGAAATTCATGCGGTGCCCTGGTGGGGAGAGAGAGAGAGGAGAGGAGAGTGGACCCCGGGGACCGTGCTCGGCTGCGGAGGCTGGAGAAAGATGGAAAGGTGGTGCGGTAAGAGATTTATTAGGGTGTCGAGGCTCATTTCACCGATTTTCGCGTGAAAGAGATGCGCCAGTCCGGCAGCCCTTTTGGCGGAAACTCGGAAAGGACAGGTCGTAAAGGTTGATGTTGGCCGTGCACGAAATTCGAATCGATCTTGACGGAATCCCAACCCTTTGACTTTCTGGGTCAGCGTGTCGTTCACGGAGGCTTTCCTCCGAGATTTACAACGAAATTGCACTCGCAATCTCTTGCCACCCCTTTCACGCCTCCGCACGCTCTACCAAAGAGGAAGGGTTTAACGAGGCCGGATTAAATTTCCGGATCGCGCAATTTTTCCGCTCGGTCTCGAGTTTTTTTTCCTTTTTTTTTTTTTCTTCTTTTTCTTTCTTTCTTTTTTCTTTTTTTTTTTTATTATTCGACTTTCCGCCCTCTGTGATCCACGCCGGTGTTTGATAACCTTTCGGCAAACCCTTTTTTTTTTTTTTTTTTTTTTCAGATGACACTTCATGATCGATCTTGACGAAACGAAAGTAGTTTCCTTTCTGACGATGAATTTTTGTCGAAAAGAAAAAAAGAAAAAAGAAAGGATGACGATGATCTACGATTTAATCAACGGACGGAATATTCGATCGAGCAAAACGATGATCAATTTTGTGAACTTTGGCACGTTTTACCGGTTAATCGAAGTATCGGCTTGCAATTTCGGATACGAATTGTCCAAGTTATTCTCTTTCGATGGAAAAATCGTTTCTTGTTTCTTCGAGATAAAGGCGACGAAATCCATAAAAGGCCTAGTTGCAAAACTTTTACTTGTAAATCGTCTTACAACCAGTCCTCCCTAAAAGGATCTGTTCGCAGGGTAATTTCTAGGTAAAAGCGCGTGAAAATGCTTCCTTCGATTTTCACTGCTTTCACGCGTTTACAGCTTGTCCTTGAACAACGACAAGTTTTCTTAACAGCTTTTACACACCTTCCCGGATTAGCACGAGATTAACCCCATTTTTTCCCACCCTCACCTATCGGTCGCCTACTTTTTTTTTTTCTCCCTTTCTTTTTCCTTTCTCCTTTCTTCTCATACTCCCCGATGCATCTGCCCCTGATTGAAAGCCTTACACCCATGGCTCCGATTCCCTTCTCCTAACCATCTCTCGAATTCGATGGAAATACTCGATAAAAAAATACGCGATAGAAAGAGAGAAAGAAAGAAGGAAGGAAGGAAGGAAGGAAAAATGAACGTAAGAAAACGTTCATAAATATATTTCTCGACGCTTTCTTTTATAAAATCCACCGTCGAAAATCGAAGATCGAAACGAAAAGAAAAGAAGCTCTTCTTCTGAACAATGCTTCGTCTCATCGGTGCATCGACAGCAACGGGAGTCGCAATTAATTAATAGTAGACGGAGACAGAGAGGGAGAGAGGGAGGAAGGGAGGAAGGGAGGAGGGAGAGCCGGTCTGTGAAAATACAACGATGGGAAGGCATTTCGCGTAACGAGCCACGCTAGGAGGACTAATTTTTTAAAACGCGCATTGGGCGTCCGTTTCCTCGCCAGTGACCAGCAAAAGGCAGCAGCCTTTTTTAATAAAGCCTAGTGCCTGGCCCGGACAAAGACAATGACTTGCATGCATGGCATCAGGCGACGCTACGGTTAGACGAATATGAAAAAGAGAAAGAGAGAGAGAGAGAGAGAGAGAGAGAGAGGAGAAAAGGAAAAAAAGAAAGAAAAAAAAAAAAAGTAGCGTGAAAAGATGCACGGCCAATGCCGACGGGGAAACGTCGTTTGATCTACTCTTCGACGCCTCGTTCCGCCTCCAATAAGTACCGCCGTTTTTTCTATATATAGATATATTCCCCACGAAGAAGTTCTCCGCAGCGAAGTTTGATTAACTCGGAATCGCGCGTTGAATTGCACAAAGCGGAGGCGAAGAGTAAAAGAGTAGATTACGTCTGTCGCCGGCCACTTTGAATTTAAACGTTACTTTGAGCGACAGTCCAGTTTACCTCTGTTTTTTTCAGACATCTCTGTTTTCAACCGGCCGCGAGAACTTGGTTACACCCCCCCCCCCCCGTTTTAATTCCCCTTGGCCGAGGAGCAACCGGTGTTGCCTCGTTAAAAAGCCTTCCTTTTTAAAGCGAAAACCGCCCCTGATTATCGCGCTGATAAACAAAATCTCGGCAAAACGAATCTTTCTTCGTCTTCAAATCATTCAACTTGAATGGATGGATATATATATATATATATATATATATAGATTTCACGCTGGGTAACTGGGTAAAATTTTCGTATTATCCGTATCGACGTAACAAGAACGAGAAAAGGAAAGGAAAGAAGAGAGGGAAAGAAAGAGAGACAATAATCTCGCGCGGTTGTTCGTTCGACGGGAATTGGACGATCCGATTGGAACAGGGCGAACTTGTTGCTCTCTCTCGATCGAGGGAGGGCGCAATTAAACGTATCGTCGCCCCTGGTAATGTAAGGTGAGTCGCGAACTTTCGGATACAGGGAGAGAGAGATGGAGGGAGGGAGGGAGGGAGGGCGGGTGCGGAGAAGGATGCACGATGGCAGGGGTGATGGGGGGAGGAAGGGCAAGCACACGGGGGCACAGAAGTTAACACGGGAGCGTGCATTGTGTGCGGTGAGCGAGCCGGAAGCGTCGCCATACTGCGTATCGCCCCGCGTCGCTTTTGTTTCCGCTCTCGTTGCCCCGATCGTTTTCTGCCCCCACACACGCCCCTTTTGTTTCGCCGCCTCGTCTCTTTCGCGAATCTCGCTCGAGCCTCGTCCTCGAAAGAGAGAGGCGAGTTTGTCAGCCGATAAAGGGAACCGGTGTGTACCCTCGTCTCGTGCCACCCCTCTCCTTCCGATTCCCCCTTCGTCCTTTCGTTCCTCGCGCGACACGAAATTTTCACGAAATACCCGCCATTAGTAATTTTTTAATATATATATATATATATATAATTTCTTAAAAATTGTAAAATATATTTCTCTGTGTTCGTTGTAATATTTTTTCCGTTTCATTTTTTTTTTTTTTTTTCATNNNTTTTTTTTTTTTTCATATTCGGCGCCGAATAACGAGAAGGAGGGAAAGAGGAAGGAAGGAAGGAAGGGTTTCCATCGTCGTCATCCCAACGACGATGTTTAAAATCGGGGAAAAATCGCGTGGCGGAAGTACGGGGGGAGGGAGGGTGATTGATTAAATAATAAGATAAAAGCCGCTATTACTATTCCCCGCTATCGCGCTGAAACACCGCCCTTTGATATCCATTATCACCGTCTGGTTACCTGCCATTAATACCCGATATCGATGCCTATTAGCCAACGCACCTAATAACCTACAACCCAAACTATAATGCTCTCTCTCGGCATCAGGGTCCAGATTCCAGTGTAGCCGTGCCACATTCTCGGACCAAATGCCAGGCCTCGCTTCCCAATAAACGTGTCCCTGTCACGGCCGCGGTACTCCCCCTCCCTTTCCCTCCCTTCGAACGCCCGACGAACGCCCACCCCCTCTCCACCAGGCCGATCACCCCTCTGTCGTCCTTAATTCGAGTCAAGATTACAAATTGATTCCGTAGCAGCAGTCTGTGTATGAAT